CCTCTGATGTGGAATGCATCCCCTAGAGTCACTGGACCCATCAATCTCCGTAAGCGACTCCTCCTTCCTTTGGTCATAGCTGCCAATAATGGATTGAGATATAACAAGATTCAGAGTTTCTACAGTGTCTAAAAGTGTTGGAAATTATGTAGGGATTATTGGACCATGAGATAAAACCCATAAATCTTGAGAAAGCATGCAAAAACGTTCCACATTGAAAGATAGGAAAAGACTTTGAACAATATATAAAAAAATATGTGTCATTTCATTCATTACCAATTGGTTTTAGGTTGCAAGCACATGTAACTTAAGACCAAGTTGGTAAAGCTATCTCCTTTATGATATAGATATAGCGTAATAAGATTGCATGTGTAGCTGAGATGATCAAGGCCAAGGTAAGGTTGTATATATCTTTGGCACTTCTTGAGATAATGTCGGTTTGATGAGAAATCAAATATGACGATGTTTACGTCAAATTAAAATTTAAGATGGTGACGTTGTGGAATTACAGTTGATTTTGTTGAACTCCAAATTAAATGCTCCGTAAAACACGAGAACTTCAGATGACGTTGTGGATTTACGTCGATTTGGTTGAACTTCAAATTACGAGAACTTCAGATGACGTTGTGGATTTACGTCGATTTGGTTGAACTCCAAATTTTTAATTTGAAGACATTCTCCTAAATGGGCCTTAATATTTTTTGTCAACAAATGGGCCTTCATAGCCTACATGAAATAAGGAAAAAAACCCAAAAATAAAGATGTTAGCCCACTTTTTTTAACAACATTAGTTAATAGTTACAACATATGAAATCGATTTGTACTAATGTTATCACTATATATAAACTTCATAATGATGTCAAAAAAAAAAAACTTCATAATGAGTATTCCGTAATGTTTTATTTTGTCATTAGTTGGTTGAAAATCCAACAATAGTCATTATTTTTAGTTTTGATTTAGAGCAACAATAGTCATTATTTTTAGTTTTGATTTAGAGCAACAATAGTCATTAATTAAAAACAAGAAAAGAAAGAAAAGATGAAGTAGTGGTTACCAAAAAGGGACACTTGTTCCCTCAATCATTGGACATTTCACTAATTTCCACATTTTCGGCTCTAATTTTATTTTCTCTTCCTTTTCTTTCTTTAACCTACTTTTAAAGTTTTTAACGCTCAAGACCATTTCCATCGGTACAACTTTTTATAGTGTCTACTAATTTAAATAATAAAAGAAAATCAAAAAGGAGGAGAGAAGATGAGGATAATGAATAAACGTTTCTCACTGCAGAAACTCTGAGACACTCATGTGCATATGTATCAGATTTTAATTGGTATAATCTAAAATAACAGAAAAACAATTAATTACAAAATTAAATTACAATAAAATATTAATGTTTTTTTTTCCTTTAGACATTCTTTTGGGGTATGAGAGGGATGGAGATGGTCTAATTTTCATGTACCTAGAAAGGCACATTTACCTCTCTCTTTTCTTAAAATTATATCATTACTTTTACTTTTAACTTTTAGGTTTTAAGTTACAACCAATTCGAAAAAATAAGGGATGGTTTGCTTTAGGCTCTTTAGACGACGCATATGCAGAAAGCATTGGAGGATGTTCAAGTGTCAATCATTTGCCATGAAAAACAAAAGTTATATTGTTAAATAGCTTCACTTTTCAGAAGAAAAAAAAAACTTATAATAGTCAGAAATGTATCTATATAATAAAATTGACAATCAAGAACACAAAGAAACCTTTTTTTTTTTTTTTTTTTTTTTTTTCAGTTTTGGCCTTATGCATTGTGAAAAAGAAATAGCAACAGACGGACGATAATATATATTTAGGACATAAAACTTTTCAGCGGTGATAAATTGATAACTTAAGGTTGTCACACAAATCTTTTTTCTTTAATCATGTTTACTTCTAAAATAAAAAGAAAAAATACAGTAATGTCTTAAAAAGGCCCTACATAGCTGAAAAAATTTCAGTGAAAATGTTATGGATTGTGTTGCGTGATGAGGTTCATTTTAATAAAAAAGAAAAGAAAAAAAATAGTATGTAGCGAATAAAGAATAACGTACAAAAAATAGCCGCCACGGTGGTCCAGACAAAATCCACGTGATGCTCATTGTGATAGGAGGAAACGCCCACCTTAGGCCACGTCATCATGCCAGCTGTTTCCAGTTCCTCGGTTTCAGGGTCTTTCCCATGTTGTTGTTCTTGTACAGGTCACTTCTCCCCCAAACTTCGTCGCTTTAAGCCGTCGGATTCACATAATCCAACGGTTCTGGAGTTCTCATTAACGTTCTTCCTTCTCATTAACGATTAGGTAATTGATAATTCTAACTATTTAAATTTCGCATTTAGAGTAACTAGAACGATTTATTTATTTGAAAGTGACATAAGTTGAAACTTGAAACGTCTATCATTTGCAAAGCTTTGACTATATATCGAATGATTGGACATTGGAGAATTAAATCAAATCTCTCGTTGAGAATTAAATTTATAGATTTAACTATTTAAGTTATGATTAAATGGAAAATCAAGCTGACGAGGGAATATAAAGCATATTAGTATATTCTTCTTTTTTGTTTATACTAATGTTCCATTCGATCGCTAGTTGTTTTTTTTTTGTAATGATTCTATTCTCTAATTTACAACTTTTAGAGAAGCCAATGGCCCGACGGCAAGTCGAATCCAACTTACATTACATAATACATATTGATACTTCTGACTTCTGAGCTATGATGTTCATTTAATTTTGCCCACATGTTATTTGTAACTTTTTTTACCTATCATGACTACAAGTTTGCCATCATTTACAAATTTATTTTTGTAATACTCATTCATTAACTTTCTTTACCGCAAATTATAAGCAGCTTTTTATAATCTTTATTTAATTAACTTCTTAAAACTACATAATATCACGAAAAACAGCTTACGATTACACATTCGTTTTATTTTTTTTTTTTCCAACTTTGTCTTTTTTTTAACGGTCATCTTATATATGTTATAGAAACATATAAAATCATTTAGTAAGTTAATAAATCTGATTAGTTTAATCATGCCAGAATATATTTTGAAGGAAAGAGAAGGATTCATACAAGGGACGTTGTACTCCCGTACACGTTTTGCTTAATCTTCTAATCGCTGGAAGAAAAGTACGAATAGGTCTTTAATTATTTGTATTAATATTACTTAATGTAAAGTGAAAACGAGTTTTGACATTATTTGTAAATTAGAAAATCGACATTCCCGAAAAGGCTGACTGCGTTTGTCATTGACTTCATCATAGCATGTTTAAAAAACGCTTGTGAAAACTTTGTCTTTGGGTGGTTGAGAATAATAATTTTGAAATCACGAATGTTTTTTTCCTAACACGGGTTTATCACTTTCTTTTGTCATATTTTGAGTTTGCATAGTTCCCATGCAAACAAAGTAACCGTAGGTTTGTTGTCTTTCCATATTTGGAAATTGAAATAGTACAATAACTCCATTTCAAATTAAGTTGTATTATTATTTTATTACTAATTTTTTTTTATCAGACAGTAAAAACTGTTTTTCAAAAACCTTTTTTACTATGCATTTTTTTCCAATCAATTTTAGTGGTTTTAAATAATATACTCCAGTGTTCTATCAGTCTATCAGTCATAGACTCATAGCTAACTACTAAAATTAGATACATTTGTTTTATTATAATTTACGAAAATAATTTAATTGTTGTCGCATTTGATAATTGTATGCAAAACTGTGTCATAATTTGGTTTTATTTTTAACTTTTTACCGTTTTACATGATTACTAATCAAATCTATATATTGGATGGGAGATTATTATAAGTATATACAAAAGATTTTATAAATGGGAGTTGATGTAGTTTATTATTTAGTTTTTTTTTTTTAAAAAATTCAAACGTTTGTAGTTACCGTTTAGATTTCACTAACTATCATGGCAGTTATACTTTTAAGTTTTAACGACCTTAATGATTTTAAAATAGTTAAGATTGTGGATTCGTTAGAAAAATATACACTTAACGTCAACGCAAACACAAACAATCGAAGTAGTTATAATCTTAAACACTTCAATCGATTTGTTTTAACGCATCGATTATATTTAGCTATTTAAATATAATATAATACAAAATATATAAATTAGAAAAATAAATTTAATTATATACATGAAATTTATCAATAAAGTCACATTCTTTCTATATACTTGTAATGTACTAAGATAAACAGGTTTATACATATCAATTTTTGTATTTGTTTTCATCTTATTTTTTCCTTTTAATTTAGTAATATTAAAGTTTAACCTCTGTCTACTTTTAACTTTTTACATTAATCTTTTATTATTAGAAATATATTTTCTTTCATTTTATTTATTCGCGAATAACTAAAAAAATTCCTAACCATTTCATATATTTCTTTTATCATGTTTTTGTAAGAACTTTAATTATGATTAGATTAATTTCTATATTCATTGGAATCAATATAAGAATCTCTGTGTATTAGAAATATAGATTCTTATATTTGTTTCTGTTTTGATTCCCATATGTTATAGTATTGTTAGTTATTAAAATTGAATTGATGGCTTATAAACTTATAGCGTTTAATATTTATAGTAAGTAGTTTCTTATATATTTGTGAGTAAATGATTTAAGCTTATATGGGAGTTAATTTTTTCAGCCAGCTCATATGTATCTAAATTTTGAATAAGAACTAACTATACACAAATTTGAAAATTTCAATATAGTATTATATATGTACACAGTTGGACAATTTCTATATAAGTTTTCAAACATAAAAACCTATTTAAATATTTTACTAATGGAACAAGTTACAAGTCGCCCCAAAGATTACAGTCAAACTTACCTTTTCGAAATGAAAAATATTCTCTAAAGAACCGTTTTTTTGTTTTTTAATAATCATTAAGACAAACAAAAAAAATATAAAATTACTGATTTAGGAGATATTTAAACGAGCGCCTAAAGTTAAAAACTTAAAAACCCAGAAATCAAAAAAAAAAAAAAAAAACTAAATTTCCTCTCTTTTTTTTTGTTCTCGTTAAATTTTCTGTGGTTCCGGTCACCGCAGCTCTGTCATCATCTTCTCTTCTCTCTGCATCATCTTCTTCTTCTTCATCTTCATCTACCAATTGCTACTCAGAATCTCTGTGATTGTCTCCGTAAAATCTCGATCTGTATCGTGAAGTGAATTTAGGATCGTTGTGTCTGTGTTTTCTGGTTTTAAATTTGAATTTTGTGTGTGAAGTCTTAGATTCAATTTCGTGTGAGCTGTTCGGATTTGCTTTGGGGGTATATATATATCGTTCTGTGATCTATTTGGGGGGTTTTGTTCCCTTTTTTCTTGTGAATTCGTTTATTGTTGTCTCGTCGGCCCGAGTTTATCGGAGCTCCGGGTCTGACGTGAGTTTTTCAAATGGCGGCGTCAGAGAGATCGATTGAAAAAGAAGTTGACATGGGTTCTTCGTTTCTTCAAAAATTCAGGCTTTACGAGACCCGCTCGGTGATTATTCTCATCTCTTATTTCGGCAGAATTTGATTTCATTTAGATACGAATCCATGGATTTGCTATTGTTTTTTTAACCTTTTGTTTTGTGCAACAGAGCTTCTATATGATCGGAAGAGATAAAAACCGAACGTCTTGGAGGGTCCTCAAGTTAGATAGGACAGAGCCAACAGAGGTCAACATTTATGAAGATTCAACAGCTTACACAGAAGCTGAGTGCTTTGAAACTTTGACAAGGATACATGAAGGAAACAGATCATCTGGTGGCTTGAAATTTGTCACCACTTGCTACGGGATCATCGGTAACGCATCAAGATTCTGACTCTATACTAGTACTTTCTTCTTTTTTTTTATAAGTAAGCTTTAACATTTCTTACCCCAATTTTTTCTTGGTCTAGGATTTATAAGGTTCTTGGGACCCTATTACATGCTGATAATCACTAAAAGAAAGAAGCTTGGTGAACTTTGTGGGCACACTGTTTATGGTGTTGCTAAGAGCAAAATAATCACGATTCCACATGCCTCTGTGCTATCCAATGTGGCTTATTCTAAGGACGAGAAAAGGTTTTCTTATGTTACTTCTGCTTGTAAAATGGAAAACCTGTACCTTGATTCCTTTATCCTCTACATTACATTTCGAAAATTTAAAGCTTTACCACTTGTATTTAAGACTATTCTGCTGTCCGTTTTCTCTCTATTGTGTCCCTCTTTGATCTGCACAATAATAGTGTCACAGGTTTCTATTAGCAAGTTAACAATTGTTGAGGTAACTGTGATTATATTCGTTACAGGTTCTCTTTAATTTTTCCATTGCTGTTGGAGATAATCCAACAGTTTAGAGTTTCGTTTTTTATTAAGTCTGTAGTCAGACAATTTTTGTTGCACTATTTCTAGGTATTCTTTTCCCTTGTTTGTACAATGGGCACATTTTTGTTTGTTGTATTTATTTTAATATGTTATATATGACAGAGGTGCTATCAAGAAAGGGAGAGCGCTTTTTTATTCTCTTCTATTGTCATTTAATCTGTTATAATTTTGTTTTATCTTGTTAACTTCCTTCTATTTCAGTTGATTTACAGATTCAGGTTCTAAATCATGTTTGGTTTTTGTTTTCTTCTGTCTTCACTGGAAATTTTTAGGTACAAGAGGCTGCTCTGCACTGTTGATCTCACAAAGGACTTCTTCTTCAGCTATTCCTATCACATCATGCATACACTTCAGAGAAATCTGTCTAACAATGTGGAAGGACACACTTACTACGAATCGATGTTTGTCTGGAACGAATACTTAACTCGAAGGATTCGGAATAACGTGAAGGACTGTATGTGGACAGTTGCCTTGGTATATGGATTTTTCAAACAGGTATGACTTGTACTAATTTGTCTAAAGGTTCTCATTAACTTTTTCTAACATTTAGTGATATGCATATTACAAGGTGTTGAGATATTTTAACTTCACATTGAAAATTCTATTGTCCATGTTGCTTGATTTTTTGAAAATTTGTGCAGCATGAGAGAAGAAACTCTCGTAAGAATTAGGACTAAACCCCAGCCCCCACTATGTGAATGCATTCTCGATTCTTTTGTCTTTTGATGCATATTAATATTTGTTAACCTTTAGAATGTTTTTTTTTGTTGTTGTCTACTATATAGGTCAAACTATCAGTTTCTGAGAAGAATTTTAGATTGACTCTAATTGCTCGCCGATCTCGGCATTATGCTGGTACAAGGTACAACCTCGCCACCTGAGCTTGTTCTATCTCTGCCATTCATTTACTTAAGCTGTAATGGGATAAGTCTTTGGATCATAATCTTCTATCTTGCTCCCCAGATATCTGAAACGTGGTGTAAACGAGAAAGGCAGGGTAGCTAATGATGTCGAGACAGAGCAGATTGTTTTCGAGGAAGCTCAGGACGGTAATCCTGTCCGAATAAGTTCTGTAGTTCAGAATCGGGGTTCAATTCCTTTGTTCTGGTCTCAGGAGACCTCACGCTTGAATATCAAACCTGATATAATATGTATGATCTTCTTTCTTCAACATAAAATATTCTTATCAATTCCATTTTTCTTCTGCTTTGTTTTTTTTTTTTTGTGCTGATATCTCTTATCTGTGTAAAGTGTCAGCGAAAGACCCCAATTTTGAGGCAACCAGACTGCATTTTGAAAATCTTGGAAGGAGATATGGGAATCCAATCATCATATTGAACTTGATAAAGGTTGGTATTCTAACTCCTCCATAGTCTAGAGGATACAAATTTTGATATAATCTTCCTGCTAAATCCTCATTCACTTGATTGACATAACAGACGCGCGAAAAGAGGCCTCGGGAGACTATTCTGCGTGCAGAGTTTGCAAATGCAATTAGATTTATTAATAAAGGGTTAAGCAAGGAGGATCGTCTAAGGCCTCTTCACTGGGACTTGCATAAACACTCCAGGAAGTACGTGATGGACACAACTTAATATGCTTCTTTGTTTCTTTTCCTTTTCATTGCATTGTCTATTAACACAATAGGCGTTTTTACTAACTGAAAATGTTTTTTTTTTCTTTTCCAGAAAAGGCACAAACGTGTTGGCAATTCTTGGCAGGTTGGCTACTTATGCTCTGAACTTGACTGGCATCTTCTACTGTCAGCTAACTCCAGATCAAAGAGGAGATGGGTTTCAGAACCAGAATCCATCCACCTTGGAGTAAGTATTCAATTTACCAATAGTTTGTTTGCCTTCTATGTAGTTTCTTGGGTAGCACATTATTTAACACTCTTGTATTCTTAGTAGCTTAGGCTCTGATCAATTTAATCCTTCCGGTTTTTATTGCAGGAACAACAATGGTGAATGTTCTACTTATGATATACTCAGTAAAGATGAAACTGCACCAAATTTGGCGGTCGAAATTGGTGATGATAGTAAGGATGCTAAGGAAGATCAGCAAAAGGAAGCTACCATGCTGCAGAAAGGAGTCCTGAGGACCAATTGCATAGACTGTTTAGATCGCACCAATGTTGCTCAATATGCATACGGGTTGGTAGCATTTGGGCGTCAACTCCATGCTTTGGGATTGACAGAGTCTACTACTATTGATCTAGACAATCCCCTCGCTGAAGATTTGATGGGAATTTATGAGACAATGGGTGATACGCTTGCTCTTCAGTATGGAGGATCCGCGGCACACAACAAGGTCTCTTTTACTTCTCTGGCCATAAGTTGTTGTCTTGTTAGATAAAAACCTATGGACATAATTGTTAAGCAATGATCTTATTTCTGTGGACAGATATTTTGTGAAAGGCGTGGTCAATGGAGAGCAGCAACTCAGTCACAGGAATTCTTCAGAACTTTACAACGTTACTACAGTAACGCCTATATGGATGCCGAAAAGCAAGATGCAATTAACGTGTACGCTGGGTTAAATTTTCTCTATTTTCTATGCCTCTGGTATGAAAAATTATTGACGTTTGACCTGTATTTTTGTACAGGTTCTTGGGATACTTTCAGCCACAACCAGATAAGCCAGCGCTATGGGAATTGGGTTCTGATCAGCATTACAATGCAGCAAGATTTCTTGCCAATTCTGTACCGGAGAATTCAAGGTATATTTTCAGTTTAATGAGACACTTGTAAAGAAGTATTCTACGTTCATTAGAGATACTTACAGTCTATTTTATTGCCTTTAGGTCTACGATGAAACGATCTCTATCAGAAAGTAGCATCATTAGCGAGAGCAGTCCAGCCGCGTTGGGACCAGTAGGTAGACATGGTGTAGCTGAAAAAGATGAAGAAGTTAAAGGTCTTTCAGATTCAGCACCTGAGATTTCGACGTCTGAAACTGCCAAGATTGCTGCTAGTTTGAGGTAAAAAAGAGCTTAAGATCTCTGTAAAATAAATATTCTAAATTGGGGTTGTTGTTGTCAGCTAAATCTTGGGAATGGCAATTGTTTTGCAGTGCTCCACCACCGACATTAGAGGAATTAGGATTAGACGATATTCTTGAAAACGATTGTTTCTGCTGTGATGGGAATGGGGAGCAATGTACATGTGCAGCTTTTGATTTGGATTGGGTATCTTCTTCAGGAAACTCTTGTGAAGATGAGAGTTACGGAAGGTAACAAAATGATATATTTTTTAATCTATCTAAAGTGGCTAATGTTATTATCTAAAGTGAATAACATTTTTTTTTAATTTCTGCAGATCCACAGTGGTTAGATCCTTTGAAACAATCCCTGAAAGTAGGAAAATAGAGTCAGAAATTTGTGTTGTTGAAGAAGCTGATTCAGACAATAGAAAGGTAAGAAGAAGTTGAAATACGAATCAGCCCTTGATGATGCATAAAACCAATGTTAATAGTAACAAACTCTATATTAAACTACAGGTAAATGAAGAAGAAGCCATTTCCGGGATTCCTGAAGGTTATGTGAAGTGGGTGATGGATGAAGACGGTCATTTCTGGTGAGAAAACAGAGCTTTTCAAAGACGTTAAACCTGCCCATATGAAACAAACAAACAAAAAGCAAAAAGAATATCATACTCCCTGTTAGTGGTGACAAAGAAAGAAAATAACCAAAAAGGAATTACTAACCGTCGTTTCATTTATTAATCGAATTGGAAGGAAAAAAAAAAGGTTAGAAGGTGAAATGGTAAGAAAGAGAGAGAGAGGATAGCAACACCAACAAGCTTGTAAATAATTTACAAAAAGATATGATGGTGATTGAAAATAGCTGAGATCTTGTTCCATATTTCCTTTTGACTTCTATATTTTATTTTTTTTGGGGAATTCTTGACAATAAAACAGAAGTGAGTACCTTCATAGTTCATTACTCTTCATAAAATTTTCAATGACTCCAATAGAGTAGAGTTAAGCTTAAGATATGTGGGACACTAAGATATGCATGCATACAGACTATATACATGTTATGTGTGTTTCTAATGTTATCGATCATCACTTGAGCATTGGAAATGCAAACGCATCTTCGTTAGTACTTTATAACGAGGTCAAGTTCTGGTTTGTTTCTTAGCTTAGTAATCAGTATCTTATTACAAAGGTAAAAAAGAATGAGGTCAAATTCAAGCTTAGTAATCACTGTCTTATACATAACAAGGTAAAAGAATGAGGTCAAATTCGAAAGTGTCTTATGAGTAGTACATTACAAGGTATAAATTAAAAAAGAGGTCAAATTCGAAGGCTTGACAAAAGAGGGGAGGGGGCGGCAAAAACGAATAGAACAAAACCAATTCGTAATAGGGATTTTATTTAGTGGTTTTTTTTTAAGTCATTGGTTATTATTGAGAGAGTAAAGGGGTCCCGTGGATGATCCAAAAAAGCACATGTTTCCAAAAAATTGACGGTGACGTAAGACCTCAGAGTTTATTGTAGTTTACGAAAACGCCACATTCATTAGAACCTTCTCGAGAGTGAATGATCCCCTTTCACATAAAAATATCATCGACACATCTGAAAAATCTCTCTACCAATTCTCCAATAATTAAACAAAAATTCAAAACTTATTGACCCAAAAAAAAAAACAGAAACATTCACACTATTTCTTTTTTTAAATTACTCTTATTTACTATATTTATTGACACATAAGTTCTTTTATTTCATGATATAAATCGTTTTAGTTAAAACATACAAATTAAAAAAATATATTTTAAAAATGTATAACTAATCATAAAAGATACTATATAAAATAAATTATTATAAAATATTAAAACAATATATAATTTGTATGAGAATTTGAAAACGATTTATATTATGAAACAATTTTTTAGCTAAAATGACTTTTATATTATGAAACAGAAAGAAATATTAATTTGGGTGGTGTGGTGACAAAAAAAAAAGAAGGTTCTAAGATGGGTAAAAGAAACAGTTTTATCAAAAGAAAAAAAAAAAAAGAAAAGAAGTGATTAGTCTTCGAATAGATATTTTTTGCGCAAAATATCATTATTAATTTATTACTTTGACGAAACTCGAAGAAGAAAGATAATTAATTAATTAATAAAAATATAAAGTAGTAGGACCAAAAAAATAAAAATCTAACAAGTGGTAAGAGGTTCTGGAGAGTTCCATTCCATCGTTTGTACGAGAGAGAGAGAGAGAGGAAAACTTTTAAAAACCAAATTTCTTCTTCTTTGATCTCTCTACGATACCAATCAAAACCTACTCTTTCCGGGTTTTTTTGGCCTTAAGAACACGTAGTTTCGAATCCATCGAAACTCTTTAGTACCTATATACACACACCAAACATCCCAAGTTCGTTGGCTCTGTTTTTGGGTGTTGAAATTCGTCGAAAAAACGAGTTTTTCTTCTTGGGTTTCTCTTTTTGTTGACCTAGAGGAGAAAGTTAGCCATGGCGTCCAATAATAGCGAGAAAATCAACGATAATTTGTACGCTGTTCTGGGTTTGAAGAAGGAATGTTCGTCGACGGAGCTCCGTACTGCTTATAAGAAACTCGCTCTTGTGAGTATTCTTAAAACTTTTTGATTTCGTTTTTGTTCATTGAAATACACAACAATGATTTGATTCTGTTTTTCTGATTTGGAGTATTGCATGTAATATCAATTTGATTTGAATTTTGTTAGCTTCATTAGATGAATCATTGATGCAAATTTTAGATTCACTGCAATTGATTCTGTGTTTCCTTTGATCTTGCCTTAGCTGATAGGTTTGATTGAGATTTGGAGATCGATATTAGTTTGTAAACTTTTCAATTTGGTACTGAAAATTGATTGGGAACTTTTGATTTTACGTTGGAATCAGAGATGGCATCCAGATCGTTGTTCATCAATGGAGTTTGTAGAAGAAGCAAAGAAGAAGTTTCAGGCAATTCAAGAGGCCTACTCTGGTAATTTCACCAGCTTTTTCTCCCAATCTTTGCCTCAACAATTGTTTTCAGTTCTTTATTGTGAAACAGATGGGGACTGGTTATTGGATACAGTATTGTTTAATGTTTCTGATTAAGCTTTTTTTTTATGGACACACAGTTCTGTCTGACTCCAATAAGAGGTTCCTGTATGATGTTGGAGCTTATAATACTGATGATGATGACCAAAACGTAAAGCTCCCTTTTTTTCTTAATATATATCTTGTTTCTTCCTAAAGATTTTCACTTTCTGCATTTAAAGGGCAATGCTCTTGAGTGTTATTTGCCTTCTTTCTCTGTCAAAACTAGATTAGTTCAGTTTCTTTGTGTTGGAAAATTTCTCCTAGCTACTTGGTTATTCTCTTCCTTATGTTGTTATTGAACCTATCAACCATGTAATTGATGGAAATCTGTTGTTGATGATTGCAGGGAATGGGAGATTTTTTGAACGAAATGGCGACTATGATGAATCAATCCAAGCCTAATGTAAGCAGCCTGCATCAGTTAGTTATCCATCAATTTATTATACACAGCCATTGTTTGTGCCTACTGATCATTGAGATGTTGGTTTGCAGGAGAATAACACAGGGGACAGTTTTGAACAATTACAAGATCTGTTTAATGAGATGTTTCAAGGAGACCCTGCAGCATTCTCATCATCATCGTCTTGCTCCACTTCAACATTCACTTCCTCTTGTAGTTTTGTATTTGATACAAATGATCAGCGGTCGTCACCGTTTGAGACAAGTTCGATAGGGATTAATAATGATCCTTTCCGATATGACCTGAGAGCTCATTCCTTCTCTTTAGGGGTAAAGAACTGAAAACACATAGAACCTTTCCTTTTCAGAGTCGCTTAATACTCTTCTTGATGATGAACTGGTTTTGTTGGATTAGCAGGTGGACCATCAGCAAGAGTTCAAGAAAGGGAAAAACAATGGCGGAAGAAGAAACAGGAGAAAGAACAATGCTAGCCATGAAACGTCGTCGTCAAACAACTATGGAGTGCCCACTTCATAGCCACTTCACACCATATTTTTTGCTAACTCATGTCCACATTTGTCGACTAGTCACAGACAAGATGAGTGGTTGTTGTCTTCTCAACAAGGATGCATCGAAACTCAAAGGGTCGTCGTTTTGTAAACTACCCACCTCCTCCTCTCGAAGCTTCTTCTTTTTGTTTCTCTCTGCTTTATTTTGTTATTGAATTGTTGTCTCCTAAAGCAAGAATCATTAAAGATCGATGAAATCAGTTGCTTTATGTTGATCCTTCTATATTCTTATTAGTCATTGTTTAATTATTTTAAAATATACATTATTGTTTGTTCCATTTTACTCGAATCTATCTTATCTTACCAAATACCAACCATGAGAGGCTACGAGAAATATTGTTGTTTACTTCCTCCGTATTTTAATAAGTGTCATTTTAGAATTTTTATTTTTTTGAATTGGATGTCGTTTTCAAATTTCTATACAAAATTTATTACTTTTTAATGTTTTATGATATCATAAAACATTAAAAAGTAAAAAATTTTGTATAGAAACTAGATTTTAACCCGCGGTACACCGCGGAGCTATATTTTCTTAAAAAAATCAAAATGTAATTTGTTTGATAGATTATTTTGATTGTTAATTTTAAGATTTCACCCGTGGTATACTATCTTTTATAAATATCAACCCAAACCCGTCCCATCATATTACCCGTCCCGTGTTGGTGTCGGATCCCGCACCAGAAGTACGAGACCAACCAAAGATTGCCACGTAATCAGGATAATGGCCCATAAAGGATGAAGCCCATTGGACCCGCGAGCCGAAAGGATGGACGAAGTGGTTGTCACCATTTAGATAACCCGAAGTGACTGCACTATGACGCGAGTTCGGTGTAGAAGACACGGGTAAGTCGGTTCAAAGACATTTGGGCCAGAAGAGGCGAGGCCCGTGAAGATCAGAGTCAACTCAAATTCAAACGTTGAGCATTAAAGCCGAAGAATCAAAACGGACACATTTAAGAAGGAATAATTGTACTTAATTACTCATTTTAAATGTCGTTTAGCTATGTATAAATATAGAGGCCAGTGGCCATGTAAAGGGGGGACCACCTAAAAAAAAGAGAGAAATAATATAGCAATTTTCGTATCAATTTACAAGTTCTTACGTATTCATTTTTGTCCCTCAAGAATAATCTTTCCCATTTAACAAAATACTTGAGTGTGTGAATCCGACTTCCACATCCCGTGAAATTAAACATCATTTAGTTATTTTTCTTTTCAATAATACTTTTATTTAAAAGCTATATAATTCAAGTCAATTTAAAAATTTCTTTTAAATGGTTCCCATAAGATATATATACATATATATTAAATTTGTATAGAGTTGAAATAATATTAATATTACAAACTTTTTATATAATTTAAATATTATAAATATTTTTAAAAATATGCAATATATATTTTTTGTTATTGAATAAGAGGATATTATGTGTAAGAAATGTAGAAAATAAGAGTTTAATATTTTTATTATGGAGTCGCAAGAAAAATCTTTTATTTCTATACATGTTATTCGTTTATTAATAATAAAAGAAAACAAATCTTTTAAATTAGATATTAACTAAAATAAACGCAGCATAATTACTTATTAAGTAACAACCAATAAATTTCACCAAAAAATAGGTAACAACCAATAAATTCTAAACTCAGTAATTAAAGAATGAGATATTAAAAAAAAATATCAAATAAGATATAAGAATCTTAAAATAATTGAATATCTAAATAATTTAATTGTTAGTGTCGATTTTAATACCTTCATTAATGTGGATTTTTTTTTTACAGAGAAATATTTCCTAAAAATTATCACATTAATGACTCAGAAAATTAAGGAATATATGAATTTATGATTTTCGAAATCGTGTTGGTAATATCTTTAATTAATATTTTTCAAATTTAAATAATTAATGCCAATGGCATTCATCCGTAAATACATTCCAACTCCAGGATTTATTTGCTAAAAGTCATCCAAAAATGTATATATAGATTTGAAAACGACATCTAATTTTTATAAAAAGAGAATCCTAAAACGACACTTATTAAAATACGGAGGGAGTATCAATTACAGTACAATTATGAAAAATCTTGTAGCTTCACGTGAATCATGTGAATGAAAAAGATTAGGAGATATCGGTTGTTTTGTAATAATGGACTCCATTGGGGGCTTATCCGTCAATTCGCAAACTCAGTCGGAGATTTATTCTTACGCCGGTGAACACTCTTCTTTTTACCCCTCCGACGATCCACTCTTCGCCGTAGCCAATCCATAGGCCGTAATTTATGGAGGAAGATGACGAGACACAGTCACGGCCGTCGCCGACAGATACGTCAACCGCGAAGTCGCCTGGTCGGAGCGGTTTAGCGCTAGTGGTTTCTTGTCCTAATCAAGCTGCTTCCGGAAGAAGAAGCGGCGGCGGAGGAGGGAGAGACGACAGTTGGAGTGAAGAAGCAACGGAGATTCTGATCAATGCGTGGGGAGAGAGATACTTAGAGCTGAAGAGAGGTAATCTGAAGCAACAGCACTGGAAAGAAGTAGCTGAGATCGTCAACAGAGACAACAAATCTCCCAAAACTGATATACACTGCAAAAACAGAATCGATACAGTGAAGAAGAAATTTAAACTTGAAAAAGCTAAAATCGCCGCAGGTGATAATAAAAGCAGCAAATGGATCTTCTTTGAAAAGCTCGAACGTTTGATCGGAGGAGGAGCCACAACAACCACGACGGCGAATAAGGCTTTAAAGGTGATTCCTTTGAGCAGCCGTTCGAGTCTTTACCAACGACAAACTAAATCCTCGGGGATGTGAAAAGGAGTGGTGATTCAACACGGTGGCATTTCAGGAAAAGAGTTGCTTCTGAGACGGAGTCAGAGTCTGAACCTGAACTTTCTGCTGACTCTACCTCTACCACCATTGTTGCTGCCAACGCCAGTGACGTTGGATAAGACAGGAGGCGGAGGAGGAAGGGAGGTCGGAGAAGTGGCAATGGCGATAGTGGGGTTTGCAGAAAGTTATGAAAAGGTGGAGACTTTAAAGCTTAAACAAATGGTGGAGCTGGAGAAGGAGAAGATGAAGTTCTCTAAGGAGCTTGAGTTGCAGAGAATTCACTTCTTTAAAGCTCAATTAGAGATGTTACGGAACTGTCTAGAGGATAGAGACAGTTAAGAGAAGAGTCAGGAGTCACCATAGTGTCGAAGAGATGGTTGTTTGTTTATGAGTCCGATAGATCAAACTGTTGTGGAATTTTAAAATGTAAAAATGGATTCTGAAGATGTTTAGGATTCTGGCTTGAAACGTGATAGTAATTCGAAACTTCAAATTCTGAATATGGCACAAGTAACAAGTTTGATGAATGCTTGAAAAGATTCCAACTTTAATTCCTGAAACCAGTTACAAAGTGAAAGACACAGTGAGCTGAACAAAAGATAGTCGCTACTACTACTGCTACTTCATCTCAAGGATGAATTTTTTTAAAGACATTGAGAAACAGAAACTCAGAAGAGGTCGTCAGAGTGTTCTTTAAGTGTGAATTCACTTGAATCGAACCGCCAAGCCAGAGGAGTGGAAGGCATCATAGAGCCATGACGGATTGGAGAGCGCCATGGAGTCGAGTTCTTCAGCCAATCAGACAACTTTGGTGATGCCATCTCTTCTGGTTCTTCGTAAGTCAGATTGTTCTTAGCATCCATCTGAAACCAATAACACATCACAAAAAGTGTCACTTTAAGTTCCAAAACTAGATCAAAGATGCAATCTGATCCTTGATGATTCAAGAGTCTTACCAAATCCCCATCATAGACAGAGAGACACACATTGTTTTTTTTTAAAGCAAAATACCTTTTCAATGTCATAATTGAGATGCTTCTCCTTGATGCTGGATTCTGCAATTGCAAAAGAACAAGCTTTAGCACATGTTTTGACTCGCAAAGATTGGTTAACATCATAGCGTAGAAGATCTAAATACACTACCATGATGAAGTAGAATGAGATCAGACGAGTAGTGATCATCCCAGAGACTTTGCTGCTCTTTGATGCATTTGCTGTGATCATGTAAGAACCTTTCCCCAGCTATGTCAATCTCATCTTTTGCAGCAGCAGCAGAAGCAATTTGCTTATTCTTTGAAGAAGCTTTCGCATGAATCCCAGACTTGTTTGTAATATCATTCAGAGCTTTACGAGCTCCTCCAGGTTTCTTCTGACCAAGTACAGTTCCTTTGGATTTCACAGAAGCAGCAGTAACAGACTCTGAAATAGAACAAAAGATAAATGTTAAATCTTGTTACAAAGCATATGATTAAAAGAGAATAGAGAAAGATTAACTACTTTTGCGATGAATCGGAGCGTTCTCGTCTGGGAAGATCATCTGTTGAAGAGCGTTCATGTTCGCCATATGGTTTTAACTGTGAAACATCAAAGAATCAGTTACAAAAACGAAATCAAATTGACGAAATTAAGCAATTAGAAACCCTAAAATTGGTGGATTTGATTCCAGAAAACCCAATTCGAAATCGAAACAAAGATCGTTTCTTTCACAAAACCCAATTTGATTCTCAAGAAACTTTAACACAACAAACCCCCGGAAACCCAGAAAGCGTAACGAATCAAGTAGCGAAAAGAAGAACAACCAATGGCCACAAGAACAGTCTATAATATGAAACCTAAATCAGAAGGAAGAAAGAGATTACCTTTGTAAAAAGTTTAGTTTCTTGGTGAGATTCTTGTTGGAAGAGAAGAGTCTAAGAAGATGAAGAGCGCTTAGATTGTTTAACGGTAACTTTTCAATGTTGTTCTTTCCTTTTCTTTCTGGAGTCTGACGAATTAGAGAAGAAAACTCGGAATTAGGCCAAAAATGTAAATTTATAGAAGAGGAAAAAAGGTTACTAGCCGTTAAGAGCCGTTGTATAATATTTTAATGCAGGCCTAATCAATAATTGGCCCAGGCCCATCACATGTATCAAATTGATTGCGTCAAACTAGTTAGAGATTTCTTCTTTTCTTTTGACAGCATCAAACTATCATGTAAAATAAGCAAAACATGTCACATTTCTATAAATTATTTGTCTAAGCTATCTTCTTATCGGCTAGATTTATCATCTGTTAATTATATCATCATCCTTGATTAAATCTCCTTAATTTTGGAAGGTTAAATTATAGGTGAAGTGTATATAATTAGTCTAACCAAAGATATTCAACGCCTCGCTTTCTTGTTCCTTATATAAAACCATTATTCTTGCATAAAGAAGATTTAACAAAAAAAAAAAACTCTATTCAAAACACATTAGAGACAATTAACAAAAAAAACCCTTCTCAAAATTCGATCAGAGATATGGGTTTTTTACACAAGTTGTGGGATGAAACTTTGGCCGGTCCAACGCCGGAAAATGGTCTCGGGAAGTTGAGAAACCACATATCCGGTGAAAATGGCAACCGGAAGTTGATGGTGAATCTGAGACGTGTCCCAGATTCTCCTGACAGGTCAAGCAACCCAGGTTCCCCTTTGACCCGTATGTTACTTCTTTTTACCCTTTTTTGATCATTTGTCTATCTTCTATGCTTTGTGTTATATATGACTATGAGCAATCAAAACCCTATTGATGTAAAAGAATATATATGCATACATAGTTGAATGTTATGGATTTGTAAATTAATTATTTGTACGTATGATGCAGCTGGAACACCAAGTGAAACGCATGCTACAAGTCTCAATGCTTGCGATTGGTTTGATCTCCCTCTCTTTTTCTCTTTCGTCAAAACTATATTTCATTTCATCTAACGCATTATCGCTTTCATTACTCATTAGTACCATATCTGATTAACGTCCGGTAAATACTGCAGGATTGTGCTAAACGCATTGGACCGTTGAAAAAATATTAGAAGGTATTCAGTATTCTACGAGAAGAAGTATCCCAAACTACTTTTCTTTGTATATATATATATATTTGCTGTGTACATAATCGTCGCTTTTGGTGTTTTGAGATTTGAGAAATATTAGTTTTCTTTTGGTTTGATTTGTTTGTTTCACCATTTACGAAGATAATATAAGTATAATTAGAATTTCTGGAATGTTAAAACTTAAAAGTCGTATACTTTGAGTCTTTGACAATGGTGAAAAGAAAAAAATGATGTGATAACATGATAACGTAACATATCACTTTCGTTACATCAATTGGAAAGCCCAATAATAACCAGTTAATAGCCCAAATCCACGTCACCGTTCTTATTTTAATAATAAGAAAAAAGGTTAAAAGAGACTAATTCGAATCGATTTAGCGAATGAAGCAATATAGGCAACCCCACGACCAAAAAAAAAAAAAGCAATAAGCAACCAACGAAGGAAGAGACAACTGGAAACTATCGACGGACCGATATTGAAACTGACGGTTAGGCTAAGGGTAATTTCGGTACATCACCGGGAAAATGGTTCACGGGGATACTTCCGGTAATTATAGAAAAACTAGATGGGCTTTTCTGTCAATATACATCCTCGTCGGATTACGAAGAAATGCGGAAATTACGATACAAACCCATCTTTTACCCCTAAACCGAGCCGGCAACTTTACCGGTGACGGAATCTTACCTCTGACCTACCAATCACGTCGTTCCACGTCAACTCCCCGTATCTTCTCACGTTCTTCCACGTGTCCCTCCTACTCACCGACGCCGTCTCCTTCCCGTTTACCCCCCTCCCGAACAGAATATTAACCCAAACCCTAACCCTATCTCCTCTTTCACGAGCTTCTGACTCAGATCCGGCGATATCGAATTCCATGGAGGACGACGAAGACATCCGATCTCAGGGCTCCGATTCACCTGATCCGTCTTCTTCGCCGCCGGCGGGACGAATCACGGTTACGGTGGCTTCGGCAGGTCCGCCTTCTTATCCTCTGACTCCTCCGGCTACTTCGTCGCAGAAGGATCCCGATGCGTTGGCTCTGGCGCTGCTTCCGATTCACGCCAGCGGTGGAGGGAATAGCAGCAGTGGGAGACCAACCGGTGGCGGCGGGAGGGAGGATTGTTGGAGCGAAGGGGCTACGGCTGTGTTGATTGATGCGTGGGGTGAGAGATACTTGGAGCTTAGCAGAGGGAATCTGAAGCAGAAGCACTGGAAAGAGGTGGCTGAGATCGTGAGCAGCAGAGAGGATTATGGTAAAATCCCCAAAACTGATATACAGTGTAAGAATAGGATCGATACGGTGAAAAAGAAGTATAAACAGGAGAAGGTGAGAATCGCTACCGGTGGTGGCCGTAGCAGATGGGTGTTCTTCGACAAACTTGACCGTCTGATTGGATCAACGGCCAAGATCCCGACGGCAACTCCTGGAATCAGCAGTGGTGGAGGTCCTGTAGGAGGATTGCATAAGATTCCTATGGGTATTCCCATGGGAAATCGTTCGAATCTGTACCACCAGCAAGCTAAGGCTGCAACACCGCCTTTCAATAATATTGACCGTCTAATTGGAGCTACGGCTAGGGTCTCAGCTGCTTCGTTCGGTGGCAGTGGTGGAGGAGGCGGAGGAGGATCTGTCAATGTACCTATGGGAATTCCGATGAGTAGCCGTTCAACTCCGTTTGGACAGCAAGGTAGGACGCTGCCACAGCAAGGTAGGACGCTGCCACAGCAACAGCAGCAAGGGATGATGGTGAAAAAGTGTAGTGAGTCGAAACGCTGGCGTTTCAGGAAGAGGAACGCCTCTGATTCAGACTCGGAATCTGAAGCAGCAATGTCAGATGATTCCGGTGACAGTTTACCTCCTCCTCCTCTGTCGAAGAGGTTGAAGACAGAGGAGAAGAAGAAGCAAGATGGTGATGGAGTGGGAAATAAATGGAGGGAGTTAACTCGGGCAATCATGAGATTTGGTGAAGCTTATGAGCAAACAGAGAATGCGAAACTGCAACAGGTGGTTGAGATGGAGAAAGAGAGGATGAAGTTCTTGAAGGAGCTGGAGATGCAGAGAATGCAGTTCTTTGTTAAGACCCAATTGGAGATATCACAGCTTAAGCAGCAACATGGGAGGAGAATGGGAAACACCAGTAATGATCATCACAGCCGCAAGAACAACATCAATGTGATTGTCAACAACAACAACGATTTGGGTAATAACTAGAGTTTAGTGATGCAGGGTCGTAATTGATATATTTTAGATTTGAGTCTTGAATTGTTGAAAGAGAGAACCGAAACTTATCTAGGCTTCATGCGTGTATTAATATTTTGCATATCTTTGTTAACTTTTGTCATATGGAACAGATTTAACTTCACTAGAATGCATGAGATCATCCTGCATAACTTTCTTCAGACTCCTCCATATTGAATGAGGACTCTCTTGTGCAGGTTTTAAAGTTGGATTGTGTTTCTGTGAGCTGACACTGGTTAGGTTAGAACATGGCATAGACATTCTTGATCTATTAAACAACTCATTTACCTTTGTATCTTAGCACCAAACTAAAATATAATTAAAGCTATGTTTGGTTATTATGACATTGAAGATTTGCATGGGTACCTAAAAACATTTTAACGAGTTTCTTGTGTCTGAAGCATCATCAAACCACCAATGATCTGCTATAAAAGTAGAATGTTAGGCAAGAAACCTTTTCGTTTGTCTGTTTATTTCTTTTTCTATGATGTTTGCCTTTTGGCATTTTAGATACTATACAAAATGGTAATCAATTCAAATTCATTACACATATTTGTTTCTCACAATTTTACCTTCCGCACTAAGCTCTATAGTTAAATACTCTATTCATGTATCGCAAGGTGAATCATGATATATTTGAGTACAATACCATCTTCCTAGTCCCACCGCAAATATCATTCTAACTTGCACTATTTTTAACGAATTCAATAATGAAAACGTAAAAATCGAAGCATCTTGAAATCTTCTGAATTTTTTTTTTCTAATGTAGAAAAGAGTTTGATTCCAAAGTTCACTACTCAACAAATAACGAATTAAGGGTGTCCACGTGTTTTTAGTCCCCTAGATTATATACTCCTATTGTCTACTGATTATATTGGTAATTATCACTAGGATTAGCAATCGAGATTTTTTCTTAGTAAAGTTCAAAATCTAGTAACAAAAGTAGTGATTACTAAAGAAATAGTAAAATATTCTACCAATAAAAAAGTAGTAAAATATTAATGTTACAAATGAATATTCTTATATTTAAAGTGGGCAAGAGAAAGATACCAAAAAGAAAAGAAAGAATGGGTAGGATTTAAATTTTAAAGCCATTTCTCCATTATTATTATTTGGGATTATTTAGTTAGGGTCAATTCTCCATATAAATTAAAGAAGAATAAAGAGTGATATCCTATAATTAGATATTTTTCCAGCCTTTTTCAGGGGGTCCATCATTTGATTTAAAGTGTCTCCAAAAGTTGGAATAAAAATGGTTGGTGTTAATATATTAATTTTCAGTAGAGTGGAATAAGTAATTTATATACTTCTTTTTGTCAACATCTATTATCAGTATATTTATTTAATATATATATACACACGCAGATTTTACTCTTTGAAATCGCGAATCGTTGTTACTCTTAACGTTAAATATTTGGATCTGAAAGCCAAAGTACCAATATACCCATTTGTTCCTTGGCCCATCTGTGAGTAAGAGACTAATTTACCCCTTTGCTTGCAATAAATTATATATACTTCAGAAAAGGATGAAGGGTATTATGGGTAACAAAAGAAATTCTTTGGGACTAGGCGAGACCTATTTCCGGAATTTCTTAATTACTGCCGACTTTCTTTTATTTTTGTTTAATTTAAAATTTCAAATTTTACGCTCTATTACTTTTTTTTTTTTTTTTTTGCTCACGTATACGCTACTTCACGTCAACAAAAATGGTGATTTTTGTCTGAAGAACGTTTTCTCTCTCTCTCTCTCTCTCTTGATTTCACTTTCTCTCTCTAAAGTAGTTTTTGACAAAGATAGATTACGGCGGAAGGAAGGAGACACAGAATGATGGGAGAGAAATTGAATCCATCAGCGGAAGTGAATTAAATACGAAGTTGACTTGAGAGTTTTGAGTGAAGCCAAAAACAGAAGAAACAATCTCCATTGTTAGGGCTTTAAGAAGAGGATGCTGAGTATAGAAAGCAGAGAAAGAGACTCGACAATGATAGTTACTATTCGAATGTGAATCTGAAAGAGACTGATTCATCGGAAACAGACGAAGATCTCATTTGTTTCTATCCTCAGGTAAGGTCTGATCCGAGCAGGACTTTACTTGAATTACAATGGCGTATTCTTTCCTTATTGGATGTGGGATTTTACTTTGCCGTGAATTTGAATTCGAATCATGGGTCTTCGAGGATTCGTCTTTATTGGGCGTGAATCAGTTTTCTTATTGATTGGGTTTTCAAATTTCCATGATCGGAATCAGATCTAGCAATGCGCTTGATTCTGTGAGTTGTGAACTTTTGTGGATTATATTATTGTGTGTTGCTTTGGTTGAGGTTAAATTGTCTACAAGTATGGACATTGCTTTTATGTATTTTACTGATGATACTTCTATTGTTTAGTCACGTTTCTCTTTGATTTTCTCTTGGACGCTTCAAATTCCTCTAGCATTTTCGGTTAGAGCTGAACTTTGTTGCTTTTAATGCTGTCTTTGGGTATGTGAAGGGGGGAGACTAAAGATTTTGTGCAAAGGGGAGAAGATGAGACCAGCTATACCTCTTGACTATGCTGTCTTCCAACTCTCCCCAAAGCGGTCAAGGTATTAATATCAGAGATTGAATTCTTCTTTTTGGTGTTAGTTGGTTTTTTAGATACTCTTCATGTTTTTTTCTTTCTGGCAGATGTGAATTGTTTGTCTCTACTGCGGGGAGTACTGAGAAACTAGCTTCTGGACTGGTGAAACCATTTGTTGCTCATTTGAAAGTTGCAGAAGAACAGGTTGCCCGGGAAGTTCAGTCTATCAGGCTAGAAGTTGAAAGTAACAGAAATGCTGGGACCTGGTTTACGAAAGGGACCCTTGAAAGGTTACATTTTATCTTGAACAAGGGATGTTTGAGTCTTGTGAAGAATAGGTCATGGTAAACACTCTAATTTCTCTTGTGCAT